AGCAGGAAGCAACACATATCTAGGCGGGGATGATAATGCTTCAGGTCTTATAAGCTGGGAGGAAAAGGAGATGTCCTGACAATTTCAAACAGACTGGATAACCAAGAATTTCTCAGATTGTTTAGATAGAGTGACTTGCTTCCTTCTGAAGTCTAATATATCACTGCAACCTGGATTCCTGTCTGGAGACTGAAAACATGCCACAACAAGAAATGTAAAGGTAGCAAGCAAGTAAAATTAAAATAATTAACCCCAGAGAATCATACTATTAGAACACTCACCAAACTTCAGCATGATTCAGAGCAATTTTCCTGAGGGGAAGTTACTCTTCCTTTTTAAAAACAACAACAAAACTTGACTCATGCTGGGGCAATATGAATATTGGTGGAATTGCTATTTGCATATGTGTCTAATAGCTTGGGAAGTGTTTTCTGATTCATAAATGTACTCCCATCACCATTAGTAATTATGTTTTTTCAGATAAACCAATTAACTAAAAAGACTCAGCATCCTTTTTCATGCGAGAACTCTTTCTCCTGCCTTTAAATGTGAGTCGCAGGTTAAAAACATGGACTGAAGAACACCTGTTTTAATTCTGAATGAATATGCAAAAAAGTAATCAGTAAAACTTACTCCCACTTAAATGACAGCTGAAGGCAAGTTCCTTTGGCACAGACTTGCTCCTTGGGAAAAACTCTGCAAACATTTGCTAACTGTTGTCTGCTTTGCTATCTGTTTATGGGTTATACCCACTGAGATGGAAACCTAAACACATGCAGTTCTGAGGTTGTGCCACACTGCATGTTCAGCCCAAGATCTGACTCTAGAGCTCTATCCTTAACCTGGCTGGTGTTTACACTGTTAAACCCCACCCCATGAGACAGGGTTCTCATTTGGGAAGCCAGAGGTTAAAAGAGAAGCTAAGAGGTGATGGCAAAATTATGCTTTGACACTTATTCATCTGCACTCAGCCATAGCTACACCAAGGTGAATTTTCATCAGCTCACCACCTCTAAGGCCATCACCCTGTGCTTCTCCTCTGGTGGGGTGCCCTGTGGTGAGTGTTGGTTACACACCAGCAGGGGGATCTGTGAATGACTCACCTGAGAGCCCAAGGACACCTCACACCTACTTGACTGGGAAGAGATGGTGGTAAGAAAGCAACTCCAAGTGCCCTCAGGGCATGCCAGCTGAGGATCACAGAATGGCAGAAGGGACCTTTAATAGTAGGACCTGATGATCTTACAGATATTTTTCAACTTATTCTACAACTCTAAAGATCATTCAGTTCCAAGCCCCCTGCAATGGGCCGACACACCTTCCACTAGACCAGGTCTCTCAAAGCCCCACCCAGCCTGGCCCTGAACACTTCCAGGGAGGGGGAGGGGGCTGTTCAGTCTGGAGAAGCGAAGGCTCCGAGGTGACCTTATTGTGGCCTTCCAGTATCTTAGGGGGGCCTACAAGAAAGCTGGGGAGGGACTTTTTAGGATATCGAGTAACGACAGGACTAGGGGGAATGGGGCAAAGCTGGAAGTGGGCAGATTCAGGCTGGACATGACGAAGAAGTTCTTCACCATGAGAGTGGTGAGACCCTGGAATGGGTTGCCCAGGGAGGTGGTTGAGGCCCCATCCCTGGGGGTCTTTAAGGCCAGGCTGGATGAGGCTCTGGGCAGCCTGATCTAGTGGAAGGTGTCCCTGCTCATGGCAGAGGAGTTGGAACTGGGAGACCCTTGTGGTCCCTTCCAACCCTGACAGATTCTGATCTGTTTTAGCAGAGGACTTTAGAGCCCTAATGGCTCAATGGTTGGACTTGATGATCTTGGAGGTCCCTTCCAACCTAAAGGATTCTATGATTCTACAATCCCTCACGCAGCATGTGTAGAGCTCCCCAGCAACCCCTTCTTCTGCTTCTGACCTTGCTCCTGTCAGCCTCTTGCTCGTTTCCATACAAGTCTAGTTAGACTGGCTATTAGGGTTACTGCTTTTTTTTGTTCTTTTGAACTCTGCAGTAGAATAAAGGTGACTCTGCGGCTGGTCCCGCCGGTACCTGCTCCTGCTTCTGGGCCACGGAGACCCCTTGTGGGCCCTGGTGGCAGACAGGCGCTTAGGGCAGGCGGGTCGATGCGTTTGGCTCACTGAAGCCCTGGTTACTGCCTCTGGGGGCTACTG